CCTTGTGCCAGCATCTTTCATGTAGGAAATCATTTAATCCTGCCTTGTGGGAGAGGTAGTCTTTTTATCCCCATCCTGTAGACTAAAAACTGAAGTGCAGAGAAGTTAGGTGACTTGCCCAAGGTCACACACCTAGAACGGGCGGCCGGGTTCGGAACCCAGCAGGGAGGCCCCCTTGTCCTTTCAGACCTTCAGCACTGGCCTCCATGCTCCCCACTTGTCCCTCCCCCCACCCCCCATTTGTTCTCCACACAAAGCAGAGCTCCCCTTAAGCACAAATCCAATTATCTCTCTTCCTGCTTCAGCCCTTTCCGTTGTTTCCCGCTGCACTTAGAATAAAATCCACACTCTTGACCATGACCTCTGTGTTAGTTTGCTCTGGCTGCCATCATAAAATTACCACAACTTGGTGTCTTAAAACAACAGAAATGTGTCCTCTCGCAGTTCTGGAAACCAGAGATCTGAAATCAAGCTGTCGTCCTTGATTCCGTATTGGAATGCTGAAGAAGAATCCGTTCCGTGCATCCCCCCAGCTTCTGGTGGCATTCTCTGGGGTCTTTGCCTTGTAGGCTTATCACTCCCGTCCCCACCTCCATCTCCACGTGGTCTTCTCTGTGTGTCCCTACTCTTCTCTTCTAATGACACTTGGCATTGGATTTAGGTCTCACCCTAATTCGGCATGGTCTCATATTATAATTAAGACTTCCTTAATGACATCTACCAAGACCCTTTTTCCAATGAAGATCACATTGGCAGGTTCTGGGTGGGCTTATCTTTGGGTGGAAGGACCTGGAAGCCTCCTTGCTGTTCTCAGACGCATGCTCCAAGCTCCAGACCGTTCTTAGTCCTCTACGTCTCCCTAACTCACCTTTGTCCCTCATCTGGGTCTCAAGGTACATGTCTTCTCCTCAGACAAGCTTTCTTCCCTGATCACCTTACATAAAGTGGGGTGCTACTTTACCCTCTCGACCCTTTTTTCACATTACAGGTATTATAACAATTTGTAAATTACTCTCATGTATTTGTTCACTTGCTTTCACTTTGTCCTCCCCACTGGCTTTTGAGTTCCATGAGGCCACACCTGTCTGGGCACCATTCTACCCTCTCTGCCTCCAGCAGAGCAGCCCTCCATGACTTGTGCTTGCAACCCTACCTCCCTCATGCATGCTTGCTGAGAATAAGCACTGCCGGCTTTCCAGTACCCCAAAACACACACACATGCTGAGAAGATGTGTAGGTGGGCCCTTGCCTCACTGAGACCCAAATGCTATGAGGAGCCAGAGAGGGAGGTCCAGGTGCCCTTGCACGTGACAGCCATCTTCACTGGTGCCCACCCTGCCCCAGTGAAACTGTAGCTCACAGCTAGGGTGCTTGGCACCCTCCCAAGAACAGGTGATAAAACAAAC